ACTGCTTAAAAAGTAATCTACCCTTAAACTTCATTAGAGACTCATCTACACAAATATTTTTTTTAGGGACATAATTTTGGGAGAATTTGTCTGACAGGAGTTGGATTAGGGGCCGAATTTTGTAGAGCCTGTCAAACAATGGGTAGTTTCTTGGGGGGCACAGTGCGTTATCGTTGAAGTGGAGGAAATGCAGCAGCTGCTCACAGCGATCCCTCTTCATAACCCCTGGGAAAAGAGGGGTAGCCAGGATGGGGTGCTTGTACCTGTAGGACCTGATACTTGGCTTTTTGACAATACCCATAACTGGATTTCTGCGAGATCCGTGGCGTGCCAAATATTTTGTCAATTGTAATGTGACCCCGGATTCACAGTCAGATATTGGTTGGCAAATAAATTGGTTTGCTAAACCATTAGCTGAAAAATGTCTTCTGACATGAACAGCTCAAAATATTTAATTGGCTCCCAAGCATCCACCGTAACAGTGATGCCAGGGCTCACTGTGAATGGGAGTATTTCAGGCGACGTCTGGTTTGGTAGCACCCATCTGGCATTGGGCTTGCTGAGCGTCGTCTTGTAGGTGGTGGTGGGGCACCATCACTTGAGGACTCACTCACAGGCTCAATGTCAGAGGCAGTGATAGTGTCACTGTCTTGCAGAGTGTCACTATCACTGCCCGCCAGAATGGCATACGCCTCCTCCGCTGAGCAGCGACGCACCATTCTAGGGGGGACTAATCAATAATTTTAAAAAAAACTACGGGGGGAATTACTAAGCCTGCCTTATACCCACAACCCACCCTCAAACACCCACGAAAATTAAATTAAATGTACTGATCGCAGTTTAGACTGCTACAATCAGCAATGAAAGGTTTATTTTTATTTATTTTATATATTTGTTTTATAAAATAACCCCCCAAAAAAGTCAGCCTGATCAGAGAGCCTTCCGATCATAGTGATCACTTGTATGGTACCGTACAGCAGCGATACTGTACAGTACAGTGATCACAGCAGCAGGGAAATGGTTAAGGGAGATTTGGGTTGCTGCGGCTGACAAAGGATCAACAAAAATTTAAACAAATATTTTTTGACCATAAAACATTTTTTTTAGAATAATACAAATGTACTAAAAGCCCCAATCAGGCTGATCCCAGTGTTATTGCAGTGATCAGCACTGAAAGGGTTAATATATATATATATATATATATATATATATATATATATATATATATATATATATATATATATATATATTTTTTTTTACTAACATTTTATAATTCTTTCTTCTACAGGAACCACCAACAACGATCTCTCTGCCTCTCTCTCTCAGATCGAAGTGAGGTGAGGAGAGGGGCAGAGACAATGTGTCAGCCAGTGATTTAAAATCATTGACTGTCACATTGTAACAGTGATCACAGTGACTGGCTGTTACTGCGATATCAAACTTCAGATCACCACTGATTGGCCCTAGGGGGGCTGCCTGGGTTGCCAGGCAGGGCCCCCCTCACCGTGAACTGCAACTTGGGAGGGATCGGGGAAACGTGGGCGGGCTTAGACGCCGCGGCGTGCTATGCCGCCCTAACGGCGTTTAAGACCATTAAATCCAGGACGGCATAGCATGCCGTAACGGCGTTAACGAGTTAATCCTATACATATATTTGCTCATTATGCTATTAAAGAAATGTACATGTCGCCTATTTGGGGCATACATATTTAGAAATGGAAATATCATCACCTAGTCGCGCAGGTATAACACATAACAAAATCCTAGTGACACAGGAAAAACACACAATGATAACCTAAGAAGAAGAGGAAAACCAATTCTTCTGAACACACACAGGACCCAGGGCCGGATTAACATAGGGGCTGATGGAGCTGCAGCTCCAGGCCCAGGCCCAGGCCCATGGAATAGGCCCATTTAAAAAAAAAAATTTTTTTTTTTTTTTTTTTTACACATTACTCTTAGGTTTGCCACCTGACTGGTATTTTAATGGCACAGACGGTATTTGAGGCTGCCTGGCCCTGCCAGTATTGCAGTAATACCAGCAATACAAATGCAGGTAATTTTCTCAGAATAAATGGAAATTACTCTGCAATACCAGCACCGGCCAGTAGGGGTCACTGTGTGTGGAGAGAGGCAGGGATAGGAAGTTACAGAATATCCCTGCCTCTCTCTACTACTCACTGATCCGTGGGGGAGCAGCTACACAGCACAGGGAGTCCAGACAGCAGCTCTACAGCTCAGGTAAGTGAGGGATCGGGGGAAAGGCAGCAGGGGCACATGGGGACACTGAGACACTAGGGGACACATTGGGGACACTGAGACACTAGGGGACACATTGGGACACATACACTAGGGGACACTGAGACACTAGGGGACACATGGGGACCCTTAGACACTAGGGGACACAGACACTAGGGGACACATGATGACACATACACTAGGGGACACAGACACTAGGACACAGACCCTGGGAACACTGAGACACTTGGGGACACTGGAAAACATGGGGACACTGAGACACTTGGGGACATATGGGGACACTGTCACTAGGGGACACTGAGACACTAGGACACATGGGGACACAGACACTGGGAGACCTGGGGACACAGACACTAGGGGACACTGAGACACTAGGGGACGCTGAGACGCTAGGGGACTCTGAGACACATGGGGACGCTGAGACACATGGGGATGCTGTGAGACATAGGGACATTGGGAGACATTGGGACATGGAGACACTATGTCCCCCAGCCAGTGTCCCTAGTGTATCAGTGTCCCCAAGTCTCCCAGTGTCTGTGTCCCATGTCTCTGTGTGCCTAGTGTCCCCATGTGTCCCAGTGTCCCCATGTCCATGTCCACAACTGTCCCCGTGTCTCCCCAAGTGTCTGTCTCCCAGTATCCCCTAGTCTCCCAGTATCCCCTAGTCTCCCAGTGTCTGTGTCCCTAGTGTCTTAGTGTCCCCATGTTTCAGTGTCTCCATGTCTCCCAGTGTGTTCCTAGTGTCTCAGTGTGCCTGGTGTCCCCATGTCTCCCAGTGTCCCTATATGTCCCAGTGTCCACATGTCTATGTCCACAACTGTCCCCATGTCTCCAGTGTCCCCAAGTGTCTGTCTCCCAGCCAGTGTCCCCTAGTCTCCCAGTGTCCCCTAGTCTCCCAGTGTCTGTGTTCCCATGTCTGTGTCCCTAGTGTCTTAGTGTCCCCAAATGTTTCAGTGTCCCCATGTCTCCCAGTGTCTGTGTCCCTGGTGTCTGTGTCCCCATTTCTCCCAGTTTCCCTAAATGTCTCAGTGTCCCCATGTCTCCGTGTCCCCGGGTCTCTGTGTCCCCATGTCTCACTGTGTCCCCAGTATCCTAGTGACATGGGGACACACTGAGACATGGGGACACACTGAGACATTGGGACACTGGGAGAAATGGGGACACTGAGACACTGGGAGACTAGGGGACTGGGCGACATGGGGACACTGACACTGTGATACATAGGGACACTGAGACACTGGGTGACTTGCGAGACTGAGACACTGGGAGACAGGGAGACACTGGGAGCAATCCATCTATACAGCAGAATCAAACTGTGAGTAGTTTGGTGATTTTATAGAATTTTCTCTGATGTCACTCCTTGTAATTTACATCATGTGATGTCACGCATAACTAATTATACAAATTATTAAGACTGGTATTTTTTTCCAAGAAAGGTGGCAACCTTAACTACTCTTCACATACTCTTGCTTAAAGAAGCACTATAGGGTCAGGAACACAATCATGTATTTCTGACCCTATTATGTTAAAACCACCACCCTGGCCCCTTCTTGCCTCCCTAAATATAGTAAAATATTACTTGTATTAAATTCTGCAGCTGCTGGCTCAGAAGTGGTGGTCTGAGCAAATTACAATACTTCCCCATACTACTGGCTGAGACTGTCAACTAGGCAGATCAGGGGCAGAGCCAGCACAAGTCCAACATAGCCCTGGCCAATCAGCATCTCCTCTCCTCTATGAGGAAAGTTCAGTGTCTACATGAAGAGGGTGGAGACACTGAATGGCAGTGCTGCACACTAGGCAGTACTGCCCCAGGGAGCACCTCTAGCAGCCATCTAAGGAACAGCCAGTGGAGTTATTTTCTCTGAAAAGACAGTGTTTACTGCAAAAAGCCTGAATGGAATGATTCTATTTACCAGAACAAATACAATAAGCTGTAGTTGTTCTGTTGACTATAGTGTCCCTTTAAGTTTGGAAGCTTAAGAGGGATGTATTGGAACAAAACTTGTGTGCACTTGCTGACATTAAAGTTATTTTAGGTAATGCAGATGTTGGTCTCTCTAACACTGTGGCATGTCCCCTTTCTTCTACACTCACTACAGACATCTTTTCTCTGTCTCAGACTATATACCAGGACCTTCTGCCTGCTAGTAAGAAGGTAAGGAGACAAGTGGACCAGCGAGTGCTATGGGACAGTCCTTTGAAAGAATGGAATGAGCGCATCATTAGACGCATTTATGTCAAGCTCAAGGTGCTGCCTGCATAGTATGCCCTTAGTTGGACAGCCTGCAAGATTGGCAGGCAGCCTGACATGCATTAATGCCAGGCTGACCTTCCAATTCTTTGGACAAACGTTCCCCTTTTTGGGCATGTTCACCCCTTTTGGCAGGTCTTGTCACGTGACACCCTTTTACCCCGCCCATTGACTTCCTGCTTCACTGGACACTGCTGTTAGGGGTTATGGATTTACTTGAAAGATGAAATCATAAATTAGAGAGGGATTAGCATAGAGTATGTGTTTTCTTATAGCTGCATCCTTTGAGTTTCCCTCCAGCACCATCTCCATCAGATACATGACGCTTGGGAGGTATGATTGTTTTAGTGTTTTTGGTCAATAAGATTCCGTAATTAGGCCCATCATAATTGTCAGCACCAGGCCTACTGTGCTCTTAATCCGGCCCTGACAGGACCCCAAAACCCAAAATGGGCAACAGCCCAATACCAATCCCAAAAATGTGATCATGAAGAGATTTACACTACCTCTTATCTCCTCCAAAAGGAAAAAAAAGGCGGATTGCCTGCCCCGAGGGGAGTGCTCCTTCAACCCTAAACAATGGCAAAGATACAACAACAAGCATTTATGCTCCAGCGAGGATATGGGGGGGGGAGGGGGAAAGGATAGAGGTGGAGCATATAATCCAAATCAGTCTCAGGTTATCCTAATACAAAGGAACCTTATTAAACAGAAAATAAAGCATCAAAAGGTAATTATTAGTAGATTGATCAATGAATATATTAATTTGATATACCAAGTTTTATCAGGTTGATTACATTATAAACCCATAAGACTATAAAATAATACAGAATAAACAACTATATCCCATTATGTGTAATACATGACTAGTATTCACGCCTAAACGGAGTCTCATCTACTTGTGTTCATCCAAAAAAATAACAAAACATCTAGTTACTCGAATTCATCTCACTTATCTAAATCTTTCACACTTATCTCTTCCAATTTCACATTTTATTCCTGTGAATCTATCTAATTATTCACATCTATTGTGATTTCTGTTTTGTGTTATGTAATTTATTAATAGTGTATATTAAAAAATACTTTAAAAAAATATATAATATATATGTGATTTTAATAGCGGCTGCTTAGTCAAAATAGATTGGTCGCTTCTTCTGCTCTCGTTCAAAGGAGTTAAAATTTGTGTTTGTGAGTGCCATTACTATAATATTTCCACCTTTTACTCCTATAAGAGAGCAAAAAATAAGGAAGGAAGGAAATAATGTTCCTCTCGCTCTCTCAACCACCCCCTCCTCCTCTCCGCTGTGTTTGTGTCTGCCTTCTTGATCCTTCTGCTATTTCACTAGATCTTTCTTCTTC